TGTGCAGGGAGTCTGCCCCCTCCCCGGGCCAGGCAGGGCTGTCACCCCGAGATGTGGGGTGGGAGTCGGGGGGGGAACCACGCACCCCAACCCTGTGCCCCCCCGCCACCCGCAGCCGACAGGGCGCTGCTTCGGAGCCAGCTGGACCAGACAGCCCTGGCCAAAAAGGAGATGGAGGAAAACTGCCGCAAAGCGGGTGCCATGCTGACCAAAGCCACCCAGGAGCAGGAGAGCTGCCAGCGGGACCTGCTCACCACCAGGACCATGTGCGAGTCCACCAAAACCAACCTGGAGCTGCAGAAGCACGAGTGCGATACCTTGAGGTCCGACATGAGCTACGCCCTCAAGCGCTTCAAGGAGATGGTCAGCCCGTACAGCTGCAGCGCCGTGCACGAGCAGCTCAGCTGGCTGATGCGGCAGATGGAGGCGCTTTTCCTCTCGCAGCAGGAACGGGAGACCAAATATGTGGGGAAAAATGTCTGCGACATGAACCTACTCCAGTGTCGCAGGAACTGCTCCATGGAGAAGCAGGAGCTGGAGAAGCGGCTGCAGGATGTCGAGAAGCAGGTCAAGAGCGGCCAGGAGGAGAAGAAGCAGCTGCTGACGGAGAAGGAGAAGCTGGGCAAGGAGCTGGAGGAGAAGAGCAAACTTGCCACGCAGGCTGGGTACTTGAAGGAGCAGCTCAACATCTGCATGGGCTCCAAGGTGAGGGAGCTACCAAGGCATGGGGACACCCCCGGGCACCCTCTGCGGCCACGCCGGGAGCACACGACACCGGGCACGTACGCCTTTCTTTTTGCACATGCAATTTTGCACGTACATCTTTCTTTTGTACATTCACTTCTGCAAATGCGTCTTTGCAGATGCACTTTCTTTTGCACATGCACTTTTGCACATGCATCTTTCTTTTGCAAACACACTTCTGCACACACTCTTCTGCACGGCCGTGGGTGCACCCCGGGCAGGGACAAGCCGCTGCAGCACCCTCGGGCCCGCTTCGCCCGGAGGTGCCGTGCCGAGCGGGGCAGCGGTGCCAGCGCTGACCGCCACCGCCCGCTCTCCTCCGCAGATGGACGCCTTCTTCGACATCCCAGGCTCACGGGTGCCGGGGGGCAGCCTGCGGCCGGGACCCTTCGCCAGCACGGGCTCCTACGTGGATGCTCTGAGGAACCAGGGCATCTTTGGGAATATGGGTGAGTCCTGGGAGGGGGGGGCTTGCTGTGGGACCAGCCCCCCGGCACGCTGGGGGCCACCGTCCCCACCAGTGGCCAGCGCGGCTCAGGCCCCGCTGCTCCATCCCACCAGGCAAAATCAACACGGAGGAGATGCAGCGGTCGGTGCAGAAGATCATAGAGCAGTACATGTCCACCCTGAAGAACCCCAGGTGAGCGGGACCGGCGCGGGAGCCTGCTGGGCTGGGGGGGCAGAGGGGGCTGGGGGCACCGGGGGCGAGCGGTGCTGGGGGTTGGGGCCTGATCCTGCCCTCTCCACAGCGGCTAAAGGCTGGGGGGGGCCTGGGGGGGCGCCCGGCGGGCGCGCCGCCCGCCCCCCCCCCCCCCGGGGGGGCCCGCCAGCATGGTGGCGGCCAGGGCCACCCTCCCCTGTCCCCTTCCCCGAGCCCCCGCGCTTGTCCCCTCCCACACGCTCGCCTCCCCCACGCATGTACCCGTACACTTGGAGCCGGGGCGGGTGGCAACTGTAAATACAGCCGGCCCTGAGCACTGACACAGCTCGCCGCACATGTGCCTGGCTGCCCACGGGGGGGGCGGTGCGGCGGCCATGACTGGGGTGGGGAGCAAGGACACCCCGTCCCGGCTTTACGTGCCCCTTTGGGGGGCTGCAATCGCCCCCCGCCAGGAAACCCAGCCCCGGCGGCGCAGGGCAAACCCCGGCCCTGGGCTTTCCCTGCTCGCTAGCAGGAAGCGTGCGAGGCCGAGTGAGCGGGAAGCCCTTGACCGCCGAGCCCCGGCAGCCCCATCCTGCCACTGAGCCCCGTCGGCACGCCAGGGCGTGGGGTCGGGGCCCAGCGGCGGGTGCAGGACGCACTGAACGCGGTGATTAATCGCCGACTGACGCTTACTGATTTACGGCCGCGCTTCCCGCTCCTTCCTGTTGAAAGAGCTTTTCCTGTCTGCCGAGCTGCCCGCACGCCATCCCCTGCCAGCACCTCATCGGCAGCACATAGCGCTCCCACCGCATCCCCGTCCCCATCGCCATCCCCAGCCAGCACCCCCAGGTCCCGTTCGGGTCCCCCAAGTTCCATTCGGGTCCCTCGAGACGCATCCCTCCCGGGATACAGGCAGCCACGTGCTTCCACCACCCACCACCGCCCGAGGATGGGGACGCCGCCGGGACCCCCCATCCCTGCCCAGTCCCTGGAATCGCACGGTACCAGGGTGGGATCGGGGGGACGGAGGGACTCCCCTGGGGACCACGGCCCCGGCTGCCCATGCCGCCCCCGCGCAGCCCGCACAGGGAACTGGGGAGACCCGCTCACTGCCAGAGGATTTCCTGGAGCTCCACTATAAATAATGTCGGAGCGCCAGGCATTTCCGGAGCCTGGGAGCCCCAGCCGGGGAGGGGGGAGAGCAGGGGGTCCCCGGGGAGCCCCCGCCTTTGGGGTTGCAGACCCCAAAGTTGCCAGGTGGGCGCCAGAGCTGGGGGGATCCCACGGCTCCCCGGGCTGGGGCTGTGCCCTGGGGGGGACCCCCAAGACCCCTGCGCCGTGTCCCCGGGGCTGGGGGTGCACTTGGGGCACCAGGATGGACCCTGCCGGGACGCCGAGCCCCGCGTCCCCCATGCCATGGCACGGAGTGGGGATGCCCCAAGGGGGGAAGCCCGGGGTGGCTTTTCCCTTCCAGCCACTCCAGCTCCTTGTTTGTCCTCCTGGCCAGGAAACGGGGCCTCTCCCAGTGGTTTTTTCCACGTCTGGGGCTCGGGACATGCTCCCCCCAGCCAGGAAAACACCGCAGCCCGGCACAGGGACGCCAAGCCCCGCCGCACTGGGGAACAGGCAGGGGGAAGGATGCCAGAGCCACCGAAGGCACCACGGTTTAATACCAGCACGGAGCCAAGAGCTCCCCTGCCCACAGTCCTTGATGCTCGCGGCACCGTGGCCGGGGACCCCCCATGCCGCGCCCCTCACTTGCCAACGCAGAAGTCCCTGAAGATGATGTCGAGGACGTCCTCGGCGCCCACGTGGCCGGTGATCCGGCCCAGGTGCCGCCGTGCCAAACGCAGCTGCTCGGCCGCCAGTCCCAGGTCCTGCCGGCGCTCCCGGCCGTGGCGGGCCAG